AGTTCTTAATCACCGAATCACCCACTTGGGAGTATAATAAATTTTTTTGTTAAAAAAGTAAACAAGTCACAAGAAATGTGCAAAATCTTTGGATTTGATGTGAAAAAGTTTATTTTTTGATGAATCATATATATTGTTACAAAATATAATTATTACAAATGATGAATTTAGTTACAAGTAAAATTTAGTATTTGTGATAAAAATTAATTATTTGTGATTAATATTTTACTAGTAACTAATAAATATACCTTATTGTAACGATTTTGATTGTCATAAATTTAAGTATTTTATTGTGATAAGTTTTTTATAACCAAATGTAATTTTTATGTTAAAATTATATATTCTAATTTTAAAATTTAATATTAATAACTAATATTTTTAACTAACAACAAAGGTAAAAGATATTAATAATAAATTAAGAATCAATCGTCATTTTCAATTAGAAAGTCTATTTACTTTCTTGTAGTGGATGTTATTGATTACTTCTTGTTGTATCTTTTCCGTTAAAAGCAGGTGATATTTCATATGGGCTTTCAGGCTCAATGACGTCAATCCACGTATAAATGTATTCTCTCATCTCAGGGTAACGGTTCAAATTCAATTTCTTACGAATTTGTTAAAAAAAAAAAAAAAACAGGTGATATTAATCACACTAGTATATATAAGTTGCTCCTTACAAGTATTTCTGGTGGCGCGTGTGATCATGCGTGGGAAATTGTACAACGGTTTCCTCTGGATCAGTAACGTCCACACTCGTAGCAGAACGTATACGTATATGTGACGCAGATTCACTTTGTCAAAGGGCAACCTGTTACGTGGCACCTTCTTATTGATCCCTAGGGTGGATGGGAGTGTGGGGCCACGTAAGAACATCGATCCCATTAGATGCTACGCTGGTCTAACGGTCAATGATACGTTGCCACGTATTAATCAACGCTGATCCACTTTATCAATGCGAAATTGCCATTTATGCGCACATAAAGGTTAGATGTCAATTATAATTACTAAATTTTAAGATTTTTTTATTATTTTTGTTTCTCAAAATTTTTACATATTTTTTATTCTTTAACTTTAAAAAGTGTATTTTTAGGAGAAATGAGAGTGAGATGTAGCTGGTAGATGGTCTAAAGGAGTAAAATTTTAAGGAGAAATGGAAGTGAGATGTTGCTGGTAAATAATATAAAGATGTAAAATTGACATCAAAACATCAAGAACTTTTAACCTATCAATCATTAAAAAAGGTCTTTAACATCTAGTCACTAAATGTTATTGTAATTCTTTTATATAACATTTTATTTATTATATATAATTTCTAAAAATATATTTATAACAAAATATCCAATCAAACCATACAATTTAACCAATTTAATTGATTCAACTAGTATTGAAGGCCGCACCTGATCCTTCGGGTCAAATGGCTTTTGATCATCTTGAGGTGCACTTCTCTCCCCCTTTGAGTGGGTTTTAATCCGCCCATAACAATATTATTAACAAAAAACTAGTATTGGAGGCCAAAATGGATTGACATTGAGTTCAGGTTTAAAAATATTGGGATAATGATTGAAACTTATGATTTTTTTAGTTTGGATCATTCAGTATTCAAAAGCTTACTAAATCATCAATTAATCTGGATTCAACTCGAACGGATCCAATAAGCAGCAAAGTTTTCCCTCACAAGTAACAAAGCTACATTTTTAAAACTTAAAATTAAAATTTCTAATTAAATTAGAATAATCTCCTATCAATTCATCTATTGGCTCGTGGATATGATTGAAACTTAGGATAAAGCCGGGGATGTATCGCACGGTACAAGAGCCCTCTTAGATAAAGCCGGGGATGTATCGCACGGTACAAGAGCCCTCTTAGAATATTCCAAAAACCAGACAGAGACAGAGGTAATGCGAATTACTTTAGCACAAATTAATATGATAATGTTCCATTGCCTACTTTCAACAAAAAAATCAATATAATAATGTTCCGCTGCCTACTTTTAAAATATATATATATATATAATAATCTATGTCTACTACTGTGGAACAAATTAATTTAATAATGTGTGTCTACTAGTTAGCACAAAATTAATATAATAATGTAACCTTCGGAGCCGGAGGTAATATATATGATAGAGTTGCGAGGTTCACTAAGCAGTCTTGGAATCAATGGGAAGCTTTGTCAAGCCATTGACGAGAACAGACATCGGTTCCATGTTGGTAATCCCAATTCATTTTATGAACCAGATGCCACTGGTTGAAGGAGGATACTTCGAAAATATCACAGTCATGGATGTAGGTGGAACAGAGTGGAACTTCGGCTACTATGTCCGATTGAACGGCAACCCAAGGCCCGTGCTAAAATCCGGATGGTGCCATTATGTACGTGAGAAAGGACTACAAGTTGGTGACATAATCATTTTTGAGCGCCTGAATGGCTTCTCCGCAGCCCGTTACAGGATTGGAGCAAGACGGTGAACCACTCTGTTTGGTCGGGAGGTATGGACTGACGTATTCTAGGTTTGACGTTTGTGTTGGAAAACTGAAGCAAAAACCTAGTATTTGCTTTCAGAACCTTTCAGTTTTATTTATAGTAGTGTTTTCTTTTTGGATGGGCATGTGTTAATGGCGTTTTTCTAGTTTTTGGTATTCCACTCTCTACGTGTTGGACTTCGGATGTTATTGAGTACTTCTCGTTGTATCTTTTTCCTCAAGAACAATTATAATTGCAGGTGTTGTACCGTAATATTATATAGATTTTCCTATTTGATAACAAAAATTATAAAAAAAATTGTTCTTGTATTATAACCCATTAATTATTCAAACTAGCATGTATAAAGTATTTTCTGTAGCGGTGGCGCGTTGTCGTCACGCGAGGGAAATTGTTCAAAGGATTCCCCTGGAGCGGTGACATTGACTTGTTGACTTGTAGAACCATTGCATTGGACGTTGATCCACTTTGTCAAAAAGTAACCTGTCACGTGGCAGCTTGTTTGTGATCCAGAGGTTGGATGGAGGGTGAGAAGAAAAGATATCAATAAAGTTGTTAAATTTTAATTTTTTATTTAAAAATATTAATTTTTAATTTTTATTCAACAATATTAACTTTCATTTTTTTTATTTAAAAATTTTTAGACGGAAATGTTAAGAGATAAATAGATTTTTTTTAACCAACGAA